AGAGCAACCGAGGCAATCGCGCTCGGCAGCAGCGCCGCGCACGTTCCGAACGGATCGAGGTCGATCGCATGGAAGCGTCCTCGGTGCGTCCAGAGGTCACTCGACTGCGTCCAGTCGCGTCGCCTGTTACGCGGTCTGAGACGCCGTTCTCGGCAATGTTGGCCACCATCGCAGCGTGCGCGGCGGCGTCGAGGTCGTTGGCAACAGACGAAACACCCGGCACCTCGAGCGCATAACTAGGTTGAAAAATGAGTCTTCGACAAGAGAGAGGATTCTACCGGATGGCGCGAATGCCGGTGCCGGCCATGGCGTCGAGCACGGCAAACGATGGCGGCAGCTGCCCCTGCGCGACGAGGGCTTGCAGGACCAAGACGGCCAAGTCGCGCTGCAGCTCCTACAAACGCTCTGCTGAGTATGCACTCTTGACAAGGAAGATGCGAACCTGGTGGGCACTGAGAAAGACATTGTCGGCTTGGCCGATCGTCGCACGGCCTTCGGCGTGGGCTGCCATGCCAATCAATTGACGTTGCGCCGATGGCTAAAAGCACGCAACGTGCCCCCAGATGGTGGCGCTCTGCTTGTCAACTGATGATCTTGATAGCGTGGACAGCTCGCGTGGACTACCCACTGCCTCGTGAAGAGAACATGCATCCTTGCTGCAACATGCGTCGTGGGACCTTTTGGTACTACCAAGCACCAAGCACAATCTCTGAACTTTCCTCTAAATACACCCATCCGCCAACGGCAACATGGCGGGTCGATACGTCTCGCGACGTTGGCCATTGACAAAGTTCCCATGTCAGACTACCCAGGTCGCAGCGTAGGCACTCAGATGGCTTGCACTCGAAGGCTACGGTAGTCCTAGGCCTCCAGTCCCTCCGAGACCCTACCAGCTACCCAAAGTTCCGAGCAGGTACGACACGAACGCTTGATGTGAATCAGTCATACAGGTGTGTAGGCAACGGTGTCTACAACGAGCTCGGACGAGGCCATTGCACGGCAGCTACACGAAGAGCTCAACGGACGCCGCTACGTTATCGCCCAGCCTGTGGTCCAGGCTCCGTTCAATTGCGGGTCGTGCCAGACCCTTCACTCGGTGCAGAACCCGCGGGCCGGGTGTCAATTCACCTGCACCGAGTGTGGCGCCATCAACCTCATCCACCCACCTCGCCACGTCATCTTGTACGGTTTTTTATCGACGCGATCTTGCTCACATCAAACTAGGGCGCGCGACACCTCGCCCGTCTTTTGCACCATCAGCTAAGCGTGTCAAATCAACCAACTATGAGTATACCCAGCCACTTTTGTTTATCATAGTGCCGAGGAGCTGTTCGGAGCTGGATGCAATGTATGGAGCTGGCCTCGTTCCATGCTGCGCTGGAGCGACTAGTTTTGCTCCTTCTTCTTGGCAACGCTACAACGCACCTCTCGACAATGGAGACGTGCGTTGTGCAGCGCCTGACACGTAGGACCTCGTTACCGACCCGCCCGGGTTCAAGGAGAGGTGTTTGGGGGTGTAAGGTCATATCCCGACTCTTGACATAGATGGCTCGTGTGAGAGAGAGGGTGGGAGGGTGAGAGGATCATGCTGATGCATCTTTCTCTTCCTTCGATAATTTACACGCCGACTTCGCGAGCTGCAGTCAACTCGTTCCACCTCAAACTACTTGATCGAAATGCATCCGCCCGAAGCTCGAAATAATCCGTACCCAAACTGAGTTTATCGCAACCACCGAGCGCGCGCTCTGCTTGGCGCTGAGCCTTGCGCCGCGACGGCGGTCACGTGTGCGAGCGTCTCGGGCGACAAGTTGTGCTTGTCGTACAGAAGCGCGATGCGCTTGACCACGAGGTTCTTCATCTCCATGGCAACTCGGAAAAATCGCCCAGAATACTGTTGAGTCCCTACGCGGTGCGGTCGATGTATCTATGCGTCCGTGCAAATGCCCGACGACCGGCGCCGCTCGGAAGACGACGCTCTACCATCCGTTGTCGAGCTGGTCGCGACGCTGCGGGCAACGAATCACAAGTTGCACGAAACGGGCCATGCGTTTTGCGTTTCGCGCCTGAAAAGGCGGTAGCATACTTGCGTTTGATGCCCGAGAGCGTACGTGACGCCGCCATCGCGAGCTCTGTCGTTGCTGTCGACCTCGGCAACGACATCGCCGTCAAGCTACCGAAACCGCACCCAGCGCGCGGGGATCTGCGCTTCTCGACGAGTTTTCGCGACAAGTGGGGGCAGCTCGCCAAGGCAACGCGGCGTCCAGCGGGGCTCTTGAGTCTCCGGTACGGCTTGACACCGTCGGCGCCGCTTCGCCCGTTCATGATCAACCCGACGGGGCACTTCCGGCGCGTCTGGGACATGCTCCTCGCTTCCGCCGTCATCTACCTCTGCTGGTACATCCCGTTCAATGTTGCGATTGTGTGGTGGACGCCAACTTCGGAGCTCGCTGTGTTCCATACGGCCCTCGACATTTTTTTGCCGTGGACATGGTCCTTAGCTTCCGCACCGCCGTCGTC